TATATATATATATATATATATATATATATATATATATACTGTGCTATTTTATGTGTTGGAATAAGGCACTTGATTAGGATTGATAAGCGAGGATTAAATGAAATTTATATGTTTAACAAAAATTCTGAGAGAATGTTAAAAATATTAAATTCCTTTATGTATAATGCCATTGCCTAATTTGAAACGATTGTTCATTTATTTAATGCTTAAAAAGTGTTCCAATTTGAATTAGATGCATTATTATAAAATATTACTTGACTTACTTTTGCACTCAAATGAAATATTTTTTTTTAAAAATAAAATAAATAACGAGAAAGTTTTTCATAAAATTATAAAAACAAAAATGCTGAAAGATAATAAAAGAATCATATTAATAATTTTTAATTTTTTTAATTAGTAATTTTTCTAGCAATATTAACTAGATAATTTAAAATTATAATTTAATTATATTTTCGTCGTTTCTCAGTTGCTAGTTTCCATCTGCCAATCTGAAAATTATAATATTATCTACTTAAAACAAGTTAGGAATCTGCTTTATCTTAGTAAAATAAAAGATTCACTTAAAAAATTTTGAATTTTATAAATGTAAACAGTAAAACAATTATAAGTAATAATCGTATATTTTACAATCCTCTATAAATTTCTTCAAAGCTCTTTAAAAAAATAATTAAAAAGTAATAAAAAGAATTTATATTTTACTAAAGTTTTAATTATTACAAAAATTTCAATAATTTCAACAAAAGTTAACTACTTCAATTGATTTAATTCTTTCTAAAATTACTAAAATATCTCTTACTTGTATCTTTAACGTCATTAAATATCAATTTCAAGATAATTATTATCAGAATTAAATCATTTTTATTAAACGTATCATTATTTTGGAAATAAAAATTCACTATTAATTATTTAATAGGAACCAAGTTGCACAACAACAAGAAGAAGAAGAGCACATTGAACATGCACCAGAACCGAGAATCCATCCCCTCGAGTTAATTGGACCACCCAGTTACGAAGAAGCGGTACAAATGCCAAGACTTGCTCGATCTTTGGACAATTTGGATGAAATTTCGGAGACGACTTCTGTGCGTGTAATGGGTTCCGCTGATAACATAAGATACAAATATAGAAGGACAAGGAGGACGAAAAAGAGAATTCAGAGTGAGGATGATTTACTCAGAAGGGAAGAGCGACGATACGAAAGACTCAGAAGAGAACGAAACAGCTCCGTCGGTAACAATGAAATCGTTTTACCACAAAGTCAAAGAAATTCTAGAGCTAACACGGCACGTAGAGCCAGGAGGAACAGCGCCATAAGCGATTCCATAGAAACAGGAAGTGGAAGAATTCGAGCCAAACCGCAAACACCAAGTTCAAGAAAAAGGAGACAAAGATACACGGTTTACGACGGGCATTCGACCGATGATGAAGACTCAGACGTTCAACCAGTTGGTTCAAGTAGATCGATTGTCATCAGGGAACTTCGAAGGGAACCGAAAAGTGGTTACAGGGAGTCTACGGTAGAACAGGATTCCTAAATATTCACATGTTATCGATTACATTAAGACATTTTTTAAATGAAATTGTTACATTTTGATATTTTTAATAACCTTATTATTATAATCATTATTCTACCATTGAAAGATACTAATTAAAAATGATTGCTATTAGTAAAGATACTAATTAGAATCATGCGATAATATTTTTTCATTATTCGGTCGAATACTTTCTTCGTCGCTGCCATTGAAATAATTAAATAAATAAATAAAATAATTAAATAAAGACGTATAATATAATTAATCATGATAACGAATTAATTAAATTATGTAATAGAAAAAAAATATAAATTAAAACTTTATTAAATTTAGAAATAATTATAATTATTTAAGAAATTTATTGTTTAAAAGAATTTGAAAATTAAATATAGTGTTTAGCATTACACTAGAATTATCAAATGGTCCAAATAATCAATTATTGAACATTTTTAAAAATTTAAGTGATTCCTTGTAATCTTTATGAATTAAAGCTTGTATTCTTTCTTATATTGCAAACTTCCTTTTAACTTTTGCTTTTTAATTTTTCTGATTCAAATTTTACATTTTATTCAGAATTTCAATGTTAAACATTATTGAAAATAATATAATGTGTACAGATAATTAATAAATCATATTTATTAAGAAAAATAAAAAAATTGACTTGATAAAAATAAGATAGAGTAAGTACAAAGAATCTTCCACTATAATTCCTTTATTCTTTTATTTGGAAACAAAGAAAATATTAAACTGTTTTTAAATTATATTAAATACTTAATTCTTGTACATATGTATAATATCACATCATATTTATCTTACCTTTATAAAGTTTTGATACTTAACACACACTTTCATATTTTACGATTTTTTCTAATAATTAAAATAGTAATTCATTTTTCATACTACATAATACGTTAGAATGAACCTAAATTTCTTTTAGATAATAAATAAAATTAACTTAAGTCAATTCAAATGTCTCAATATAAAAATCAAAATATACTGATTATAAGGATATTTTTCTATTACCAAAGTTTTATGTACAACATATACATATAAAAGATTAAGAAAAAAACTACCTATAAAATCAAATAAAATTTATAGCTGAACATATTTTTATATATGTGCAGTAATATATTTCATTAATTTCAGAATTTAACGAAAATACAGAAAATTACAAAGTTATAGTAAAATTATAATAATTTCGGATCAATCTGAAAATAATTCTTAGCACCAAGTCCGAATTTAAGCAATAACACATCATTTATTGTAGCGCATAAAACAAAGAAAATTCTAATAGATACTCAGAAAAATATAAATATTATATTAAACAAATATTTTCTAACGTATTGTATTATTAATCTGTTTTTAATATTTATAAAAAATATACATACATTGCTGTTCACAAATACATAGACTTTTTTAAATATTAATTATTAAATTATTAAAAACGGATATGAAATCTTTAATGAATTTGTATATTCTTTAATAAATCTTGTATATTATAATTTGTATCTTATTGAAAAACATATTTTACTAACAACTTATTAAATATCTTACTAATAATAATAAAAAATACTTAAAAATATTCTTATCTATATCCGACGTATGTTTAAAAATATTTATATTAGAATTTCCTGTATTTAAACTTCTATTTTTTGATTATTTTAATATCTGAATGTTATATTATCAGAACAGAATATGCACTAGTAACTAGAAAATGAATTATTTTGTTTCGATAATACAGTATTTGGATACATATAAAAGTTTAAAATATAGTTAATAATTATTTTCATAATCATTTTCAATATAGTTAATAATTATCCGTCTGTTATTGCCAAACCATTATCATATCATGAATGATGTTTATGTTTAATATTGAGCATTGCACAACTTTTAACTTTTTATTCAACTTTTCATTTATCTTTTGGCGGTGAATGAAAAGTTGCAGAATATTTGAATAATTAAATTATTTGACATACTATTAAAATATGTGTGTGTGTGTGTGTGTGTGTGTGTGTGTGTGTGTGTGTGTGTG